TGCTTCCTAATTAATTTACGACGAAGAGTCAATTATAATTAATCAGTCAGCATTAAAATCCTTTCTTTTGTATCTATAGAATAATTTATTTTCAACTCACTTGTTGTGTCACCGATATAACAGTTAATGTCAAACAATCACCACCAGATTTAATGAGATCAACAACTTGTTTATGCGTTGCACCCTCAACGCTAACGCCGTTACTGCAAAATAAAAGGGGAAAAGCAAAAAAACAAAAATAAAATATGAGTCGTGTGCACGCTTATGCATAATATATTAACTCAATTTAAGAAAGTTAATTTACAACATTGTTGGTAAATGACAAGCAGGGAAACATATCGATTATTAGACCAGCTGCACTAATTTCTAATATACCTATATAATATATATATGTCACAAGATTCTAATTTATTCTCATAGCAACCATCAGAATAAGATAAATGTTAATTATGATTAGATTATGCATATCAAACGATCTAATACTCAGTTGTCGAAAGAGAAGATTTATTCTCTACTTGGAATGCGATTATTTTTACCAAGGTATGCCTGCCAATCCAGATGCATTCGAGAGCAAAGGAGTTACTATCTGAATGTAAATATTCGTTAAATTAAATGTAGATTGTAAACATAACTTAAATTATACTAAGGTACACACAATGTTAGCTTTCAAGAAACACATAATGCTTACCCTTGATCTTTAAGATCACTACAGTAGCAGTACAAGCAATTGAAATATCAAAAATCGCTCGTTACAGGTAGTGCTGTTTTCCGTGATTTTGAACAGGTATAAAAGAATATGAATAACACAATAAAATTCGTAGAAAAATATTTGTTAATACGCGGCATTATAAAATAAACAAAAAAAAAAAGTTTTTGTTTTTGCGAAAACCGAAAATCCTTAATTGCGGTTCGAAGATCTCTGAGACTCGTACGCGCCATGTTTCTGGCTCGTATTCGTTTATCAACCTTCGTTCCATAAACGCTGAATGAGATGGAGAACTAGATTTCGAGCGGGCACATCAATGCCAGCAGAGGTATGTGGTCTTGTGTTATCCTGCATGTAAATGAAATTTTCGCCGATAGATCCCGAAGAAGACGGTGTGTGCTCTTTCGGGATTGCTTCGATACAGCGCCGGGCCGGATTGACGGGTACTGAACGAACCACCCCCATATGAAATGGGGGCTCAAAGATGCAGCATTGTGTACATAGACTCATACACCCGCCAGTCGCTACCATTAAAGCACATGAAGGCGCTCGTCAGAGTACACTGATCCCTTGTCCAATTCACATTTTTTTGAGCGAACGGAAGGCGTGCTTGTCGGTGGGCTGGGATCAATTACGGGCAAATTGCGCTATCAGACTTCGTTAGGCTAGCCTTCTCCTAACCGTTCATCGACTGACTTCCATTCCTTTAACTTCTTGGAGCTGCTACCCAAATTGTACTAGATTCAACAGGCGATCTCAAAGTGATCTCAGAGTGAGCGATAAACGGTCATCACGCTGTGTTGTAACACGTTTTAGGTCACCTCCTCGTCGCCGAGTATAGCCACCGATCTCTTGTCATTGCTGTTATACATGCGGAACAGCATATTGGCTTAAATTTAACTGTCGTGTCACTTAGCTTTGATTTTGCCCAGTCTCAACTATTCAACAAAGAACTTTTTGGCCTGAGGGCTCGTAAATAAATGGCATAATTTCTTTCGATCCTTATCCTTTCATAACTGTTCAAAATCGCTACCTGGAACAAGCGATTTTGGGTAGTATTCCATTACTGGAATGATCTTGAAGGTCAAGGGTAAGCATTATGTGTTTCTCAATAGTCAACAGTGTGTACTTTAGTTTGATTGAATTTATGTTTGCAATCTAAATTTAATTTAATAAACATTAAGGTTCAAAGTGAAAATTTAAGGGGCGTGTGATTTCTTTGCTCTTGAACGTAGTTACTTGCATAATAAATAATCACTTAAGCGACAATTTTTGAACTTCATAAGTTAAGTAAACCTTTTTTTGCCAAAAATTAGTGACGTTCGACGTTCAGAGGATAAGCATTCTCGCTTTGTGTTTCGCTTTTTTATCGTATGCGTGAAATGATCATATGTTCTTTGGAGGATATAATGCTCGATAATCAGTTTTTAAAAGCAGAAATCATTGTACGAATGCATGTAATCTTATTCGAAACATTACATAACAATATGCCCCTTTCTGAGGCAAAAAATAAGTGGTCTCATCATGTATGGCAGATCTTATGAATTCGCGAATAGTTGGCTGCACAGAGGCATTGTAAATTCTAGCATATACAGAGATGTAGAATAGGTGCGCAGTTATTACTGCGTTACGCTCAGATTATTGTATAAACAGGGGTTGTTCACGACTTTAGAAAACTCTGCGGTATTTGCGTTTATTCTTTACCTTTTACACTGATGATAATGATTTACCAGAATTCTTTAAAATATTCGCATTAAAATTTTCTGCTTTTGCTGCTCGACTTTTCTACATACACAGAGATATATGTACATATATATATTTTAGATAACACCGACTAAAAACCGGCAAGTTAGTTAAGATATTGTAACATTTATAAGTTAAGATATTGTATAATAAATTTATCATCGTTCTCTCTCTACAATCTCTATATAACGGTACATCATAAACTAACTTAATAATTTAAAATGTCTTCACCCACTTCGTTTAGTTCTCTCAGTTAGAAATGGGAAGCCAGCCCATCTAGAATATAAGGGGCAGGATCGCAATAGATTCTATTTTTTTCTCAGTGCATGCATGCATCGGCGTTTGTTAAAAACAATTGCATCCATATGCTGCATAAAAGCCATTGTCTGCTTGTTAAATAAGCTTCTTTGATATAAAAAAAAAAAAATAATAATTTTCTTATATACAATGATGTGCTTGCTTTCATACGACTTTCTATTAGAGTGAGACATGTGTAACTTGATTCTTCCTCTTCTTGAAAGAGAAGGCTCTTGAATTACTGTGACTTTAAATTAACTATCATTTATTTTAGAAAAGTTTTTTCTTTTTCAAATATTTCCGCTTAGTTAAGGATCATTCCACTCCTCTCTTACCGAGGGATACCGGGTATTTTCGTTTCCACTATATATGTATATATTGATGACAGTTATTTACTCTTAGTAACAGTGGCAGTGTGTATAATCAGGAAGTGTGTAATTGTAAACATCATTCCTTGAAGCATAAATTGTTGATGGTGTTGTTGTTCTTCTTATTATTATTGTATATGCATATACATGATTACGCTTATTCGAATATATTACTTATGTTCATGTATTGACATAAGTCTCGTGCTTTTATGCTCATTTTCTATTCATAAACGCACGTATTATATAATAACACCACAAAACAGCAGCAGCAGCAGCAGCAGCATCAGCATCAGCAGCAGTAGCAGTAGCAGTAGCAACAACAACAACAATAATAATAAATACAACAACTTCAGCTTCTGTTAATGAGGATATATTTAGTTTGTGTGAATGAAACTTAAAGGATTTTATATATATATATAAATATATATATATATACATGTACATACATATATTTAATGTTAGAGCAAAGCAAGAGATATCCTTCATAATTAAATGATATGCAAAATAGTTCATAAAAATCTTATGTTCATAAAGGTATGAAGAATTTCATCAATAGTTCTCTAATACGAGAATATATATATCGTCTTCAGCGATGTAAACTGAGTAATAAACAGAAAAATAATTAAAAAGTTTTTTATTTATTTAGTATTTTATATATTTAATCATGAAAAACTATATATATATATCTAGGTTCTGACTACAGCAAAGTACATTAGGAAGGAAAATTTGTCGGTAAGGAACTAATCAGTTTTGGAAAACAAGTTAAAATAATTAAATGTTGTCAACGATGCGACTAAACAGGCTAAACAGTCGTGTAAATGGTCGAACCGTAAGAAGTAAAACTCTGCAAAGAGGATCCGCAAGAATAGTGGAGAGACAAATTGAAAATCCAAAGATTTCTACCTGAGTTTACACAAGTCGGTTAGACAGGCGTAGTTGTTATTTGATGTTATACGACATCTCTTACAAATGGATTCGTGTTGCTTTCAAAGATTAGTTTGTTCACTTGATACAGTGATCGAATCTGAGTCCTATCGATGGATGATGTTAATTTCTTTAAATTGCAGCCTATGCTTATCGTTACGAATCTTTTTTTGCAATTGAATTATAGTCTCTGAACTTCTTAGGAGGAGTTAAAAAAAAAAAAAAAAAAAAAAAACACCAATCCAGGAACTAATTTTCGCCACTTTTTGACACACTCAGAGGCATTTTTGGTACAAAAATTTTGAAGATACATGCATTATACGACTATGTAATTCTTTTGGATACGTTCACTGGTCTTTGACCATAACATTTATCATAGTCACTTCATTTCACTTCGAACAACGAAGTGGATCACTTAAACTTCTCAGCTCAATAATAAAAAATTATATTAAAATAATTTTTAAAAAATCGTTTTTTTTTTTTTCTTTTCTCCTTTTCATGTTTGCAAACTTATTCATACACTAAAGCAATTAAGATGATGGCAATGCACAACAAGATGTAGATAATATTATTATTAAGATGTAGAAATTTGACAAGTTTTTAAATAGATCGCCGAAATATGATTACTCATAAGATTAAGAAGATATTTAAAGTAAAAAAATATATATATATATATATTAATGATTATCCTGAAGACGAGTGCTGACTTCTTCAAATTGAGAATTGAAAATTGTCTCATAACTTCACCTTAGGCGATTTCCTGCGAAATAACGCAACGCACACGTATGATCAATTACAGGGAAATGCAACATATTTCACAAGTTAAAATTCCGTACAAGAATGAAACGTTTCAATGAGAAAGCAACCTAGCAAAGTAATAAATTCGTAGACGAACTTAATGATTCAAGTATTTAGATTTTTGCCATTTTCAAAATTATTATGTCCATCTTATCGCATAATTAATAATTAAAGCAAATATTTTGTGCAAAAAAAAAATAAATAAATAAATAAAGAAGCTCGTCAAGTAAAAAAATAATTTGGGTTGGGCGAAATTTTTCGATACCCATCACTTGTATATATTTTGTCATGAATTTATGAAATCGTCCCAATGCCAAATTTTGATTTAACGTAAGTGCTGTGCCAACTCGCTATCAATTCTCTATCT